CTGAGGGACAGCGCCCAGGCTCAGAGTTCAAGCCCCACAACCAATCGAAAAAACAAAAACAAAAATCCTAAAAGCAGTGTGTGAACTGACGAGGATCAGGTGCAGGCAGGGATTTCCCCCCCTCCCCCCGGAGAACAGCCTCTCCTGCCGCCTGTGTCTGATGCACCTGTTGCTATATCTGGGTGCCCTACAGCACACCCTTGCTACCCCCACACCATCTCACCCTGCTGGCCCACAGACAGGAGCAACTTACAGTTAAGGCAGTTCAAAGTCAGTCAGTGCCAGCATGGGAATCAACACTGCACCCCTACCTTCTCAACCCCTTCATTCCTGTCTGCAGGCACCCCCAAACACAAGAGGGCTTCTAAAAAACAGTCTGGGTAGCTAGAAGACCTAGAGTGGTGACATGGGGTGGGTGGGCAGTGTCCCTGCAGCCCCCAAATCCCAGTGTCTGGCGGGGGTGTACCTTGTTGTCGCCCAGGGACCACTGGCCATAGTGCTCCATCTCTTCCACCAGCTCATCACAGGCCGCCTCCGTGAAGATGGGGAACCAGTAGACGTCTGGGCAGGGCTGGGAAGAGGGAGGGCTCAGTCATAGCACCACCCCTCCTCTGTGATTGCATCCACTGCCTGTCCTCCCTACACCGACAGTCCTTGGAGTATTTCTGTGAAGCAGGGGCTCAGTGCATGCTGTGCAGGCTGAGCGAACTGTTGAAGGCAGAGCTCAGACAGTGCTGCTCAGCCAAGGTGGCAGAGCCACCAGTGCCGTGATCAGGAAAGGCAGGCACGTGCTCAGGAAGGAGGCTGCAGACATGGAGAGGACTTCCGGCCTACACATCCCACTCAGGGATCTCCGTCCCCCGTCCCGCTCCATGGAAGGGACCTGGGGCCCTCAAAGCCCCTGCAAGCCTCAGAGATAAACTGCCAACAGGACAACACAGCCACCTCCCCACCCCCTCCTCTTTTTGTTGTTGTTGTTGCCATACTCATCCTGGGGCTTGAACTCAGGGCCGGGGGCAGCCCCTAGCTTTCTTGCTCAAGGCTGGTATTATACCAATTGAGCCATGGTTCTACTTTAAGCTTTTTGTTGGTTAACTGGAGATTAAGAGTCTCACAGACTTTCTTCCTCGGTCTGGCTTTGAACTGTGAGCCCCAGATCTAAGCTTCCTGAGTAGCTAGGATGACGCACATGGCCCGCTCATTCTTCTTGCTCCAAGTGCTGCCAGAGTGGACAGGAAGGAGCTTCCCACCCCCAACCCCGGTGCCGGCAGTGCAGGGGACACCCACAGCCCTTACCGTCTCCACCAGCTTCCCCTCCAAGGCCTTGGTGTAATTCTCATGGATGTACTTTTCCTTCCAGTCCTGCAGGAAGGGAAAGCAGGCTGGGGTCCTTGGGTCTAGCCTGAGCCAGTGGGGGCTCAGGATGCTCAAGGAAGGTCTTGTTTCCACAGTCCCTCCATCCCCCCCCCACCTAATGTGAGTGGATATGAACATGCTTGAGAAGCAGGTGGGTGCATGCCTGGGCCCACTGAAGGTGTGTGCTGTGCACACACACATGTACATATGTGTGTTGGTGTATCACATGTCTATGCAGGTATACACAAAGGCTCACATCAGCTGCAAACTTCCACCATTCAGATACGTCATACTGTCCCTTCCCATGTCCACACAACACCCTCAGAAGGCAGACTGGGATGACACCCACATTAAGGCTAAATGAGTCTCCAAAAGCTGGGAGGCTGCAGACACAGCTGATGTCAGCTGACACCTGGTACCTCCACTAGATGGCGCTGCCCTGCGCCATCCAACAGAACTCTGTCCAGAGGGAGAGGGCAGGAGACCCACAGACCAGGGAGTCCCGCCCCTCCTCCACCCAGGATCTCACCTCAGGGTTGCTGAACACCTCCCAAAGATCGTTGTGCAGATGGGTGGTCTGGTAGTTATCCAGCGAGAGGAGATGGCCGAAAGGATGCCGGTTGGTCAGGAACATGAACACTTCCTAGAGAGAGCAACCCAAGCATGCAGAAGGCCCTCCTCACCCCACCCCTACGAACCATGGATGGAGAAGACCCTCCTCATTCACCTCTACACCCCATGGATGAAGAAGACTCTCTTCACCCCACCCCTGAGGCCTATGAATGGAGAAGATCCTCCTTACCCCACCCCTATAGCCTGTGGATAGAGAAGATCCTTCTCACCCCACCCCTACAGCCCATGCACTGGGAAGACCCTCCCCACCCTCCCCCTGCAGCCTGTGATGAAGACCCTTCCCACGCACCACCAGCCTGCCCCACCATGATTCAAGTTTCCAAGTGCAGATCCCCAGCACCCGGCTCTCCCCACAAGGAAATGGGATCAGGGAAAGCCCCTGGAAGACTGATCAGATAATAGAAGAACAGGCTGTGCTTTTCTCTTCTTTTTTGGTTGTTTTAGTATTTTCTGTGCTAAAGATTGAAGCCAGGCAGGGCCTCATGCATGTTGAGCAAGCACTCGGCTAAAGACTATTCTCATCTTGAAGTTTGTGTCACGGAAGAAAACCTTAGCATAATATCATATTTAAAAAGAAACAAACAAGCCAGGCGCCTGTGGCTTATACCTGTAATCCTAGCTGCTCAGGAGGCTGAGATCTAAGTTCAAAGCCAGCCGGAGCAGGAAAGTCCATGAGACTCTTATCTCTACTTTCAGAAAACCAGAAGTGGCACTGTGGCTCAAGCGGTAGAGTGCTCACCTTGAGCTGAAAAGCTGAGGGAGAATGCCCAGGCCTAGAGTTCAAGCCCATGACTGACCAAAAAAAAAAAGAAAAGAAACAAACAAACAAACCAAGTGCTGGTGGCTCACGCCTGTAACCCTAGCTACTCAGGAGGCTGAGATCTGAGGATCACAGTTCAAAGCCAGCCCAGGCAGGAAAGGCCATGAGACTCTTATCTCCAATAAACCACCAGAAAACCAGAAGTGGTGCTGTGGCTCAAGTGGTAGTGCTAGCCTTGAGCTGAAGAGCTAAGGGACAGAATCCAGGCCCAGAATTTAAGCCCCACAACTGACAGAAAAAAAAAAAAAAAAGAAGCAAACAAAAATAGGCTCTGGTAGCCAATGCCTTTAATCCAAGCTACTCAGGATGTGAAGATCAGAGGATACTGGTTCAAAGCCAGTCTGGGCAGCAAAGTCCTGTGAGACTTTTATCTCCAATTAACCACCAAAGAGCCAAAAGTGGCTCAAAGTGGTAGAGTGCTAGTCTTGGAGCAAAGGAAGCTCAGGGACAGCACCCAGGCCCTGAGTTCAAACTCTAGGACTGCCAAAAAAGAGAAAAGAAAAGAAAGAGAGCAGTATGAGATGAAATGCACACACAGAGTAAGAGGCAAACCAACACAGGTACGTGTTGGTCCACACACTGGTCCCACAGGCCTGAGGACTGGCTCCACCCAGTGCGGGGGGGGGGCGGGGGGACGGGGACAGCAGGGGCTCACCTGCTGCCGGATGTTGGCACAGAAGGCCATGTCGGCGTCCAGCTTGCTATGGTGAAACAGGTCTCTGTGCTGCAGCTCGGCCCGCAGGGCACTGCCCTTGATCAGGTAGATGTTGGAGATGTAGGGCACATTCCATACCCCGCTGAGGGACAGAGAGGGGGGCAAAAGGGGTCAACAGGCTGGCAGGTAGCGTCACAGGCTAGGAGGGCTGGATGGAGAGTGATCTGATTCTTCCACCCCAGATACCTGGGCCTAGGAACATGTGTCAGGAAGTCCTCCTCTATGTCTAACTGGAGTCCCCCTTGCTTGACGTTTGGCAGTAATCGGAAGGTGAGCAGGACAGGTTGGGAAGGGAGGCCCCACTGGAGAGGAGGGGCAGCCCCCTTGCCAGGGGTACTCACACTCTTCGGCCCTGCACGATGTCCACGTAGTCCTCAGAGCGGGCATAGTAGCCGTCTGCACTCAATGCCCCCCAGAAGTTGGACCAGAGTCTCCCATGGCGGGTTAAGAGTGGGGCGATGACATTCCTGAAGAAAGGGAGCTGCTCAGAGGAACCGGAAACCGAGCTGGCGATGGGGGGGGACAGGGGCCCGGCCGCCCTTCTGCAGGGGGGAGGGCTGGCCTGGACGGGGCTGGACCATCAGCCTCTTCCTCCCTCCCGTGCAGGGGGCTGGGGGCGGGGCAGGGGTGTGGCCATTCATGATCAGCCCTTATTGTCAGGGTGAGGATCCCACAGCCCAAAAAGAGAGAGGCCCAGATGGAGGATATAGAAACAGGGGCTGCTGCAGCCTGCCCCTGCCCTGCCCGGACCTCTCCCAGTAGGCGTGGGGATGGAGCTGGCCTATCTGTTACATCAGCAGTGGGGTGGCCCTGCTTACTTGTTCTGCTCAATCAGCAGCCTCAGGCTGTCTGCCTCTGTCAGGGCCACGTCGGCATCCACGCTGAAGTAGTAGGTGCAGGCCAGGTCCTGGCGGCAGAGGTCTCTGTGAAGGAAGAGTCCCTGAGGTCAGCCTCTGCCCACATCGGTCACCATGGTTTGGCTTCATGACACACCAGTGGAGCAGCTGCAGAGAGGCCTGTGAAGCCCCAGTGCACACTGGGAATTGTTGGAGGTCCCTCCTAACGCTGAGGCTCACATCTGAGCTCCTGTTCTCAACATGAAGGCCCAGAGCTAGACAAATGATAAACGCTGGATCCGGGAAGAGCGTAGGCCACCATAGGCCTGTAGAACACTGTGCGGGGAGCGCTTGGAACTAGTGCAGAGCAATAAACCATACATCTGGTACCCAAGTTGGAGCTAGTCTTTAACTAGCTCAGCTTGCTTGCTCAGTTGGTGCTCTGCCACTTGAGCCATGCTTCCAGCCTGGCTTTTTGCCAGTTATTTTGGCATAGATTTTGGTAGATGACTTGGTTTCCATCCCAAGCAGTGCCAACAGAAATACAGAAATAAAAACGTATATCAGCCATGCACCAGTGTGCTCACACCTGTTATCCTAATTGCACAGGAGGCTGAGATCTGGAGGATCATAGTTTGAGACCAACCCAGGTAGAAAAGTCTGCCAAGACTCCAATCTCCAAAATAACCATCAAAAAGCCAAGCTTGGAAGCATGGCTCAAGTGGCAGAACAAGCAAGTCAAGCTAACAAAAATAAAGAAACAAATAGAAAAGCTGTCCTTTTTGCTCCTTTGGTTCAGAGCTTAACAAATGATGCCTGGTGAGGATGTTCCCTCTGCCTGGTTTTGTATGGCCAGTGAGCTAAAAACAGCTAAACATGGCTTTCCATCCTTAAATGACAGAGGGAGAAATTGAAAGAACACATGGAAAGGATGCCTTCCTCTGAGCAAGCTCAATTTCAGTATCCATAAATACAGTGTTGCTGGATTGCAGCCAAACTCATTCGTTTTGTCTCATCTGGAGCTGCCTTACAGCGTGGCCATGGGGCCTGCAAAGACTGACATATGTCCTATCCTTCACAAGGAGTTTGCCAACCCTGAGTCTGGACCCAAAACAATTCGACAGTCAACACACATTATTTGCATCTGCTGGGTACCGGTGGCTCATACCTGTAATCCTAGCTACTCAGCAGGCTGAGATCTGAGGATCGCTGACCAAAGCCAGACCAGGCAGGAAAGTCCAAGAGACTTTTATCTCCAATGAACCACCAAAAAAACAGAAGTGGCACTGTGGCTCAAAGTGGTAGAATGCAAGCCTTGTATAAAAGAGCTCAAGGGACAGTGCCCAGGCCCCGAGTCCAAGTCCCACAACAGACAAAAAAACAATTTTTTTTTCTTGTTTTCTGGTGGTAATGGAGTTTGAACTCACGGCCTCATGACTCCTAGGTTGAATCCACCACCAGAGCCATGTCTCCAGCCCTGATCGTCTCTGGTGATTTTTAGGATAAAATCTCATTCCCAGCTCAGACACACCTATGAGCCAAAATCTAACTCCTTTAAGTTTCTCAGTGTTGCTAGGATCATAGGTATGTGCCACTGGGTCCAGTTCCCTATGTTAACATGGGTCTCTCAGACTTTTCTATCCTGGCTTGCCTGGGATCACAATTCAATTCTCCCAATCTCAGCTTCCCACAGGAATAAAAAGTACACATCAGTGTACACAGCTGTAGGTTGAGAAGGGATCTCTTGAACTTTTCTTCCTGGGCTGGCCTCAAACCTTGAGCCTCCTAATATCTCAGCCTCCCAAGTAGCTAGGATTATAGGTGCCACCAGCACCTGGCTTCTTTTGTTGTTTCTGGTCGTGGGGCCTGAACTCTGTCCCTCAGCTCTTCAGCTCAAGGCTAGCACTCTTGACTGGCTTCTTAATAATACAGGTAAAAAACAGTTTGTTTCTATCAGCCTTTACCTACTCTAGCCCCTCCTCTTTCCTTAATTTACTGCGTGCGTGAGTGCATGTGTACGTGTGTGTGCGTGAGTGAGTGCGTGCGTGCATGTGTGTATGTATACTAGGCATTGAACTCAGAGCCCAAAGTTCGTTTTTGTTCAGGATTGGTGCTCTACCACTTGAGCCACACCTCTGCTCCCGTTTCTGTTAGTTGAAGACAAAGGGTTTCTCAGATGTGTCTGCTTGGGCTGGCTTTGAACTGGGATCCTCAGATCTCAGCCTCCTGAATAGCTAGGATTACAGGTGTTAGCCATGGGTGCTAGTATGTCTTCTTCATTTGCTTCTTGAGTTCAAATGCCACTGCTCAGCCTGCCCTGTAGTCCTGAGTTTGTAGGGGAGAGACTATTTCCCCCCAGTTGGCAGTTGGGAACTGTGAGGCCCAGACAGGGGCCAGAATGTGCCCGGAGGAGACCGCAGGGCCTTGTACATTCCTGTCCTCTGCCCGCCATGGTCAAACGCCCTACCACCACCAGCCAAAGGAGCCCCATCTCTGACTCACGCGCCCATGTTCCTGGCGTCCGCGTTTGCCATCCGCACCTCGGGACCCACCAGTTTCACAGACTGGTACTCGCCCCCATGCTCTGCCAGGAACTGCTCCACCTGGGCCCTGTGGTGCTTCTCCTGAGAGGGAGGAGGATGTGGAGGGGGAAGATGAAGGGGAGGACCAGGACATGGAGCCCATCCAGCCATGGATCGCAGCCTGGCTGTCCTCTTCACCTCTGGTATGTTCTAGAGCTCTGCCCAGGCTGGGTCCAACGTTCAGTCAGTGTCCTTTCCTGGCCATCCTTGGACCAGACCCAGACCCACAGGCCTCTCAGAGCCCCTGCTACCCCTAACTCTGCAAGCCCCACACCCAGAGATTGTTGACCCTAGAAGTCTGAGAGTGATTCCTGTGTATGTGTGTGTGTACACATGCAAGTCCTAGGCTTGAACTCAAAGTCTCTTAGCTTTTTCACTGAAGGGTAGTGCTTTTCTACTTGAGCCACAGCTCTACTTCTAGCTTCTTTCTGGTTAACTGAAGATAAAAGTCTCATCGACTTTCCTGCCCAGCCTGGCTTTAAACTTCAGTCCTCAGATCTCAGCCTCCTGAGCAGCTGGGATGATAAGCGTAAACCACAGATGTCCCATTGGCCTCAATTTTTTTTTTTGTCAGTCTGGGCTTGGGTGCTGTCACTCAGCTCTTTAGCTCAAGGCGAGCGCTCTACCACTTAAGCCACAGCACCACTCCTAGTTTTCTGAGTGGTTTATTGGAGATAAGAGTCTCTCAGCCTTTCCTGTCCAGGCTGGCTTTGAACTGCGATCCTCAGATCTCAGCCTCCTGAGTAGCTAGGATTTCAGGCATGAGCCACCATGCCCAGCTGGCTTCAAACTCTTGATCCTAGCTTTGCACAATGTCAGTATTGTAGCCAATTAAGTTTGTCTAAAGTGCCATTATTGCCAATTGGGAACAAAGTATTTTTGTGTGCCAATACTGGAACTTGAGCTCAGGGCCATAGGCACTGTCCCTTAGATTTTTCCACTGAAGAATAGCACTCTATCACTTGAGCCACAGCTCTACTTCTGGCTTTTTGGTGGTTAAATGGAGATAAAGAGTCTCCTCACTGGGCGCTGGTGGCTCAGGCCTGTAATCCTAGCTACTCAAGAGGTTGAGATCTGAGGATCACAATTTGAAGCCAGCCTGGGCAGGAAAGTCTGTGAAACTCATCTTCAATTAACCACTAAAAAACCAGAAGTGGCACTGTGGCTCGAAGTGGTAGAGCACTAGCTTTGAGCAAAAGCACTCAGGGACAGTGCTTAGGCCCTGAGTTCAAGCCCCACAACCAACAAAACAAAATAAAAAACCCTCTTGATCCTCCTGCCTCAGCCTCCCCAGTGCTGGGATGGGAAGTCAGGGGTGTATCACCACACCTGGTGATTACCCCTATTTCATCAATGAAGAAAAGGAAGCACAGAGATGGTTAGGTCCCTGCCCGTGGTCACACAGCCACTAGAAGCAGCAGTGCTGAGATCCAAGCCACACCAGTCTGGCTCCAGAATCGACCTACTGATTGGAAGATTCAGCCCACCACTCCACATGGCCCAAGCAAACGTCTTTCAGCTGGACCCTCAGGGGTCTCAGGCTACCTCATGGGGCTGAGCTCTTAAGCCAAGCCACCAGGAATGCCCCAGAGCACCCGCTACTCACGTGGTTGTGAATGAAAAGCCGCATCTGTTTCCGAGGGTAGTGGAGTCGCAGGAGCCGCTGGAAAAACAGGGACAGGAACGGCGTGGGCTGCTCAATGAACACACCGACCAGGACCACGGGCAGGGCTTCATCCTGTGTGGGGGCGGGTGGGCGGGCAGGGGACCCGAGCTCAGCAGGGTCCAACCACTGCACTGCTGAGCCCTGAGCTGCAACCAGAAGCCGGTGGCCTCAGCAGGACCAGAGAGCCTGGGCCCTGGAGTGCCAAGCTCTGCGCAGGTGGGCAGAGGTGGGGCTGGCAGGGCAGAGTGGAGGGAGCGGTGGAATCTGGGGCTCAGAGGGGGTGGCATTCTATTGGGGGAGCCTCCGGTGGTGCTCAAGGTGGGCTGGGGAGGATGAAGGTCCTGGCATGGGGCGGGGCCACAGGAGCTGGAGGATCCAGAGGGAAGAAACCCAAACAGGCCTGTGGAAGGAGGCTGGAGCCTGGAGAATCTAGGAGGGCTTCCAGGAGGAGGCACTTGAAGGGAGAACAAAGGAGATGGGACCTTTGACAGGATGGTGACTTCTTTTTCTCCCGTCCGAGATAGTCTATTCAGAACAGGCTATTCAGAATCACCCATCCTCCTCTCCCACCTCTAAGGACTGGTCCCAAAGGTCCCCTGGGTGGGCAGCCTCACCCCAATGCCCCTGAGGCTGCGCAGACCCTCCTCACACACGGTGCAGCCTGTCTCGAAGGTCCAGAAGCGTGGGATGTAGTTGCCCAGGTAGTTCAGCTGTAGCTGTCAGAAGACACAGGGTTAGGAGCTGGCTCCGCCCACTCCCAGCCACCTAGATTGGACAGGAGCCACTCCCACCTCCACCTGGATTGGACAGAAGCAGGCCCAGCCCCACCCACTCCTAGCCACCAGCCCATATCACCTGGGCTGGACAGGAGCAGGCCTAGCCCCGCCTACTCCCTAACACCAGCCCATCTCCCCTAGTTTCTGGTGGGTAGCACACTCAGACCTTCCCACCCAGCAGGTAGAGGGGAAAAGGTTCTACCCCTAGGAGATAGCTGTGCCTGCTCCAAGTGTCCAGCGTTGTCTCCCTACCTTGGTGGGCCCGTTGCCATGGATCAGGACTGGGAGAGTGTCGTAGGCCAGGTTCCGTGCTCTCACGTGGCCCATTTCAAACTTGAGTACCACTTCATCTGAGGGTCAAGAAAGCCCAGCCCAGAGTCAGCCAGAGATGCAAGCCTAGGGCTGACAGGCTGCAAGCAGACCATGGCCTGAGGCAAGGTTACTTGACCCCCTCTGAGCCTCAGTTTCCCTACCTGGGCGCCCCAGTGGGACCTCCCCCGCTCACTCATGCTCTGACCCCACCAGTCCGTATATAACAGGTAGGAGCTAGACACCAGTGGTTCACACCTGTAGGTCTTGCTACTCAGGAGGCTGAGAACTGAGGATTGTGGTTCAAGATCAGCCCAGGCAGAAAATTCCCAGTGAGACTCTTAACTCCAATTAACCACTCACAAAAAAGAAGTGGTGCTGTGGCTTAAATGGTAGAGTGCTACTAGCCTTGAGCACAAAGGGACTCAGGGATGGCGCCCAGGCCCTGAGTTCAAGCCCCACAATCAACAAAACTAAAAAAAGAAAGAAAAAGAAAACAGGTAGGGAAGCAGGGAACAGCAGTTCATGCCTGTAATCTTAGCCAAGAAGGTAGATCTGAGGATCATATTCCTAAGCCAGCCCAAGCAGAGAAGTCTGTAAGAGTCTTATCTCCAATTAACCACCAAAAAGCCAAAAGTGGAGCTATAGCTCAAGTGGTAAAGAGTTAAAAAGCTAAAGAACAGTGCTCAGACCCCAAGTTCAAGCCCTAAACCTGACAACCAAAAAAGAAAAAGAAAAAGGAGAAAAGACAGTAGGAAATTAATGCCATAGCTGCTGGGAGGGGGCTCGTCCTGGAGAGAACTCCCTATGCAAGGACCTCTAGTGACCCTGCTTCTCTAGCAAGGCCCATGAACCCCAGAAACCCCAGGCAAGAAGGGGAAGAAGTTTCTGCATTTTGCTGGGAGAGAAGCTAACACTTCACCAGATCCTGAAAGAGCCCATAAAAACCACCAATGATGCCAGGCGCCAGTGGCTCACTCCTGTAATCCTAGCTACTCAGAAGGCTGAGATCTGAGGATCAAGGTTCAAAGCTAGCCTGGGCAGGAAAGTCTGTGAGACTCCTATCTCCAATTAACCACCAGAAAACCAGAAGTGGCACTAGCCTTGAGCTGAAGAGCTGAGAAACAGCGCCCAGGCCCAGAGTTCAAGCCCTAAGACCAAAAAAAAAAAAAAAAGCAAAAACAAAAACAAAAAAACACCAGTGGAATGGTTCTGGTCCCATATGGTAAGACTGGATATTGATGGGGCTGGGAAGGTGGATCAGTGGTAGAGTGCTTGGCTTGCATGCATGAGGCCGTAGGTTCGATTCCTCAGCACCACATAAACAGAAAAGGCTGGGAATGGTACTGTGGCTCATGTGATAGAGTGCTAGCCTTGAGCTGAAGAGCTCAGGGACTGCACGAGTGCAAGCCCCACGACCGACCTGCCTGGGAGGCAGGTGACATGCTCTGGGTCACCCAGAAATAGAGCAAAGAGGCATGGACACAAGGCTCAGCTCCAGGGCCTTTGTGGCCTCAAGGCAAGTGGCCACTCTTGATCACAGGTCACCTACCAACTCCTCCCTGCCTCTGTCCCCCTCTGTCCCCATCATCAGCCCAGGAATCCTTCATCAGAAGAAGAGAGGGCTGAAGAAGCCGGAGGGGCCCATCTGTACCAACATGGCATTGGGACAGGGCCAGGATCTGGTATCTACTGTGGGCACCACACAGCTCTTCCCCGCCCACCTTCCCAGAGGGACACAGCTCTGCTCCAAGATGTCCAGATGGGCAAGAGGTTGACAAGTCTCCCTGCAGAAGGCCCAGGGAAGATCCTTCCCCAGTTTCCTGTCCTGCTCAGACCCTGTTGGAACACCCTTTTCCAACGGTACAACTCAGACTCTATCTCCTACAGCCACTCAGGCCCACTTCCTTCTATGTAGCCCCACCCCTCCCACGGTCTATCTCAGGCCCCGCCCCCTCCTACCAGCTATGGGAACTCCTGCAAGTGGCTGCTTACCCAAGGCCCCGTCCAGGTTCTGGAAGATCCGGCAGCGGTGGTCCAGGGTGATATTGATCTGCTCCTGTAGAACAAGGGCACCAGGCTGCAGCAGGGATGGGCTTGCTGGGCCCAGCACCCGCAGTGTGGGGAGTCTGTCCCCATGTTCTGCCTTGTTACATCAGGGCAGCCTGGAGCCCTGAGAAGGCCAGCCAGTCACCAAGGCCACAGGATCTATGGGTCTAGATGCAACACCCACAGAGAGCCAGGAAATTGCAGGACCAGAAGAAAGCTAAGGAAGCAGTGCGTTAATTACCACAATAATGGGCTGGGAAGGTGGCTCAGTGGTAGAGCGCTTGCCTTGCATGCCTGAGGCCCTGGGTTCGATTCCTCAGCACCACATAAGCAAAAAGAAAAAAACC